CGCGCCCGTGCCCTGTTCCCTGGTGCCCTGCCCTCGGCGCGGGACCGAGCTGCACCTATACTATCGACGGTTACCTGAGCCCTCCCACAGCGCGAGCGAGATTGTCGAGGTGAACGCGCAATGATGATAATCGCTCCCGCTTGGGTTGGAGGAGGAGGCGGGGGTGGGAGATGGACGGGGTAGGGGTAGTTCCGAGGTAGGTGCCACAGGGTGCGGGTGAGGTTGGGGGTGGTCAAGGGGAGGCGGTAGGAGGTGTGGGACGAACGGAGGGCGGGAGGCAAGTGGGTAGTAGGGGTTAGTAGGGGTGGTTGCTGCAGCTACCTGATTGCTATCAATTTGGGCCGCGGCCTGCTTAACTATTCCGAGATTTGATTTGAAACTCGGCGAAGCTGGAAATGTGTTTCTGATGTGCTGTGCTTACAAGTCGATCTAGGAGATGAAGTGGGGCAGAGTTTTAAACGTTCATAAAAAAACAAGTATCATGAATTCAGGTGAGACAAAATCAGGGAGAGGACTTTGATGGAAATGAAAAGAAAATCCATGATATTCCTGAGGTATCTTTTATCTCCTGAGCTCAGTTTTGTTACATCTACTGTCTCAATTCCATGAGAGTACACAGTAAAATGTGTTTCATATCTACTGTAATTAAATGTAAAACACATTTACGTAGATTCACTACAATTGGAAGACAATCTTTCAGGTGAGAATGCTAAATCTCTGACGTCTATAATGACAAATGAAGTTCTCATAGTACAAGTTGCATGTATTATCACATTCTCCAAACAACCTGACCACACAAAGAACATGTAAACCAAAATTGCAATAGTGCAGTTGCTTATTCTATGACTTCAGGCCGGTTTTTCATGGATGCAATGTTACACATTGTAAATCATCCAAACCACCAAAAAAGAAAAAGAATTTTGAAAATTGGCAATTTTGATGAGATTTTCTTTGGCCACAGATTGATGTTTATCATCAAATAGAGTGTTCATACAGGTGCAAAGGCTAAGAGAGTAGTTCAGCAACTGCTTGCAGCCCTACTGCACTTACTTTTCAAGAAGGAACACATTATCATTCTAAATTCATCAGTCATGCGACTCATTTTCTTTTAAAGCATTTTTCTAAATTCTAAATAACATTTAGACCAATTAAAATGCTACATGTTATGATAATACTTTTTGGAAGACATGAAATCACTAATGTTTCATCACAAAATCTATATTCATTAATTCACAGCAAGCAGTTAGTGCTAAATCTTACACAATTACATAAGGGTGGAGATGAAAATTTGAGAATGTTTATACTGGCACTTATGTAAGTGATATTGTCAATTTTAGTAAAACCCCAAAAATGTTTCAAAACAGAAAAACAATATTTTTGCCAACCTAAGAACATTTTACAGCCTCTTACCTTTCTTATTGGCTTGACAAAACAATAATATTGATCAAACAGTAAATGTAACATGTTTCTCATTCAACACAACTACCCACACTTGGTAAGACAAATGAATATAGTCAGCTAGAATCTTACTTAAAAGTCAAGTTTCATGGCAGAATACTTTTGAGAAGTACTAGTGCTTTGCTGAAGAATGCTGGAATTGCCTGTCGACAAACTTTCCAGACTGAGCAATAGCCACATGTTTAGAAATAAAACATTTTCTTTGTCTCTGTAACTTTGATCTTTTGATTTTTCACCCAAAGTCAACTAGATAGTATTTGGAGCATAGAATAGAAAATTGCTTTTCCCATAATACATCCCATTCAACAAGAATAAACAAATCCCCTTAGAAATCTACATAATACAGTAAGCTAATTTAAACAAGTCCAAAAAGATTTTCAATATTAGAGGCCCCCTCTGAGCTAACAATTTTTAACGGCAAATTTTTAAAGCATACATATATTAAGATCTACTTTTCACTAATTGTTTCAAAATCGTAAATGGAAGACAATGATTTTGAGGAAGTTTAATGAAGGTATTAAAAAACATCCATAAATAAAATATTAGAGGCCCTGGACTTAATCCGCACATTAAAACATAAAAGATCAACATCAACACATGTTCTACAATGGGAGTACATATTTGACTACCCTTGTTATTTACACATGCAATTGTGATCCATATTTTGCAAGACAAACAAATTTGTCTTACAAAGACTATCTTCACAAATTAATTTTTTATGTTTATGTACTTTACATTTGAATGCCAAGTCAAAGAACATACTAACAGTACTGTAAAGAGTGTTAAATCTAAAGATTCTTTGGAGGATGTACTCAGTTCAAAGATTTGCTACTCTGGTCAGTAAAATCTGGAAGAACATGATGTAATTGTAACACCTACCCATCAGGTGATAATAGCACCAACACAAGCTTTGTGCGCTTGACAAGTAGGCAAAATGCCCAACTACAAAGTTAGAAATAGAGGATTGGCCAAATATTAAAAAATATTAGATTTAAAGAGGAAGACAATAGATTTGAAAGAAAATTTTGGCACTTAAATGTGCACACTTGTGTCTACAAGGGATTTTTTCCCATTGATCCAAAGAAAGAATGCAGGTACAAAAAGTACCAACACATACTAAAATGATATGACAGTAAATATTGTTTTGTTACAGGGTTGAGTTCTGATTAGTAGAGCTTCGTATCAGAACACAAATATGGTCGTAGTTTGTGAAAAACACCTTAAAATAAAAAAATAGAAAATAAATATTATGATGAATATGTATAAAGTTTTGAAGTGATTTAGAATTATAATTGATACGTAGCAGATTGAGTGATACACTTTAGCTGCAAGAGGGCTTACAAATTATTATGTGCTAATACAATGCACAAAACAATAACAATATGAGATTCATGGTGAGCTAGATTGTACACTCCTATACATTTAAGTTATCCTTCCAGAACGCAAAATCTTAATGGTAAAACTAATGACTAATGAGGGAGAAAGTATATCTCCAATTAACATATGGTGGCTAAGTCCTAATGCCACCAGTTCCCTTTAAGTCCTCATTAGTGAAGCACATGATAACAACAAAATTCTTAAAGTAAGCAGCTTAACTTCAAAATGAAAATGCTATCAGCTGCTCCCAGTTAAGTTTCACACATAACTCAGCAAGATATACTGTTGATTGCTCTAGTATTCATGCAGAACAAACAAGTCTCGTGAAAAACCTTCACGACACAAAATATATTACATAAATTTGAAAATACATTCATTTACAAATAATGTCAACAAGTCTTTCCAAAAATGAATAGTTCTTTGGTTTAATTAAAACACTAATGAGTTAAAATGGAAGCACTTTAAGGTATACAATTGTACTCCTTGTTATAAAGGTTTAGTTATTGTCACTGAACCAATCTTTGAACTTTGAAGACACAAAAGAATAAGAACATATTCAATAAATTATAGGAATTTATAAATAATTAAAAAAACTAGTCATACAAGTAAAAAACTAAAACATTGTTTACAACACATTACCTTGTCTGTATGTGGGACCAAGGTAGAGCTCAAAACAAAACATGAATGTCCTGTGAGATAAAACAAAGGTGTGATGTGATGAAGAGTGCCACGGTTGGGAAGTACATACGTGTTCGGCTATCAGCCGCTCTAGGTCCACCTTAACACTGAGCGGCAGTGGATTGGTGAAGCTCTGCCTGCATCTTGGCCCTCAGGCTCTCAACATCATCATCTATTCGGACAATTGTACGGAATTTCTGAAAAGGAAAATTTTTACCAAATTATTGCTTGTGTTACATGATACTTATCAATCATAATGATACAGTCATAATGAAGTGTAAT